ACTTGCCAACAAGGTTGAGCTGGCTGAGTAAAACAGGAGGAAAGACTGATATCTGAAAAAGCCAAGAGACAACAAAGTCACTGAAACTCCATTCTCCTCCCCTTGCTCCCTACTCTTTCTGGCCCACGGTGACCTTGCAAACTAACAATGCAGAAGAACCCTACTCCATAGAATAGTGTCCATAGAGATCATGTATCTTTAAAGGAAAAGTTCCATGTGACCTTGGTGTGAATTTCACAACACACAATGCCATCATATCATTTGTAATAGTGTAGCTATCTCACCTGTGGCCCTTATCATAGTATTCAGAAGTACTTTTCACTAACAATAAAAATGTGTCTTTAACCCACAAAATCAGCCAATTACAAATCACTCCATTGTTATAAACTATAAATGTAAACCTTTTGTTTTGCTGGACAAAAAAAAAAGAGTTGTGCTAAAGTTCTGCAAAGAATAGCATCCTCCCTTTTCATTTTAGATTGTTTTACCACAAGACATCCATTTCAATTCATTTTGTGATAGCCAGGTCAGAAACTATGAGAAACAGCCTAGTTCTGTGTGTGATTAACACTTGTCTCTTACACCAAAGTTCAGCAAAGCAATCACCCACTGTTTTAACTTCAGTCACACCATTATTTAATAAGCTAATTAAGGTACACTTAGTGCACTACTGATTGTATGAGAAAATCCATATTTCTATGCAAGTTGTTCTCAGATACTTCTGATAATATCTGAGAGTATCAATCTTCTCATTACAAGGTAAAATTTAAGAACATTCAACAGTAACAGACTTCATCTGGTGCTCCACGCTTTTCTGGCTATCATCCAGCCATCCCTTTCCCATGCTTCCCACCTTCCTTCCCCCTTCTCTTCCTCTTCCTTTCCCCTTCCCCTCACCTGCTCTCAGAGGGCCTTCCTCAAGGCACTGGCAAGGCAAAGATACAACAAGGTAAGAACAAACCCACTGGCTAAACATCTCCTCTGACACAACTTTGGACACTGCCCTGCCTGGAAGGTTGAGAAAAGCAGATCTGGGGCTGAACAGACCAAAGCTGGACTGGCATCACTTCACAAAGGAAGCTGCTCCTCACATTCCATGGCATTTTGAGATCTACCCTATGAGGAACAAGTTTCTCATTTCTTACCCAATCAGGTGTCATACTGACTCTCGGTTCCATCAAAAAGAAGTGTAAAGAAAAGAAGCAGCTATTTCTCTGTGGAATCTTCTTTCTTGCTTATTCAGAAATATTGTAGCTTTGAGGAGCACAAATGATACGATCCTATATGATGCTTTTGTCTCAAAATCCATTTTAAAATATTAGTAACAAAATCACTGACAAGAATACTCTATGGAAAAAAATCTCTTTAGTCAGAGAGAATTTCTGCTTCCTAAAACATGATGGTTAGCTTGCTTCAAAATCTCATGGGATGATAATTAGTAAGTTTCAAGTACAGAAGGCCCACAGGACTCAAGGAATTGGGAAGGAGAGAAATCTTAGGTTGTCAGGCTGTTTGCTTCACTAAACCAATGAGAAAATAAGCAGAGGTAAGTTTAGGAATCTGCCCCAGCATGAGGAATGTTTGGACTAGAATTTGAGTGTTCTGATTCCCAGTCAATAATTTCTATACCTCCCCCTCTCTCTCTCACTCCCTCTCTCCCTCTCTCTTTCCCTCTCTCTTTCCCTCTCTCTCTCCATCTCTCTCTCCATCTCTCTCCTTCTCTTTTGCTCTTAGTTCACAAAGAAAATGCATGAAAGTTACCTTTTATAATACAAAGAATTTCTATTTCCAAACAGAGATTCAGCAGAACAATTATGAATACCAGAGGTAATCACATTTTTAAAAATGAAGTGGAAGAATCATTTATCATAATTCTTGAGAATGGCTTACAGAATCTAAATGAACATTAAGTCAAGAAAATTAACCAATAGACAAAGGTGTACTATTAAATAATACTTTGTTCTTTGTTGTCAAATGAACAACATAATATAATGGAATATATTACAATTTTTATTCTAAAAGAAGCTATCCATTTTTTAAAAAGATTAGTTTTACTTTGACACTCAAGTAGTACCTCCCATGCGCCTTTGGGTCCCTACTCAGAGTTGAGCAAAAAGATTATGCTAAAAACCACCAAGATCTGGACAAAGTCATGGACCTTAGGCTACTCCACTTTTACCCATTCACACCAGGCTTCCTAGTACTCACCATATGCTGCCATAAAAATGGCATGTTCTGGCCACCACAGCCTCCTGTCAACACCCCAGCAGTGGGAGTGAAAACAAAAAGATAGGGCTGTTCAGTTGGCAAAGCCCAAATGAGACAAATCGTTAGTGCTTGCCTTATCATCAGAAATACATGGGACTGAGAAGCAGCTATTCAAATTCACAATTTTAGCCTCAACAAGGATATCACTGTCCCCTGTGAATGGAAAACAGAAAGCTTGGATATTCAAATATTTCCTAAATACATTCTCAACTTCTAAATAAATGGCAAAGTACAAAAGGAACAGAATGTTAGAGGAATTATTTCTACTACAAAATAATTTCATTTTACAAAGGGATTCTTTGAATGCAATATTATGGAATACAACAGAAAAAGCAATATGCACAACATGTTAAGAGTAGTTCAAGTTAGCCATCTGTATCCATGATAACACTGTGACTGTTGCATCTTTATAAATTCAGGCTCCTGATGCATACAACTGAGAAGGGGGCTACACGTTGGATCCAGAATGTATCGTTTATGCTTGAAAGAAGAAATAGGCAGCATTTCTAATGCTGGTATTTCCAGGGAAATGTAAGAGTGTGAATAGCCAAAGCTAGAGTTGTCATCATGATAGAAAGAACCATAGGAGATCACCTACAAACATCAGTTAGCAGCTTCTGGCAGCACATACATCACACTGGAATACTATTCTGAACATGAATCATAAACTTCCTGTTTCCGTACAAGGCATTTACTTATTTCTACTTGTATTAGTGACCTAGAGGAAAACATATCAATATCTGCATATCAATATGAGGCCATTTGCTATGACAGATAATTGAAATCCCTGATCCCTTTGTGTAAATTGTAAATCAAACCATGTGATTATGCTAAAAAGAAGAAAAAAGTAAACTGTTCTGGGAGAATAAAATTGAACTTCCAGTCTTCAGAAATTATACTATTGTTTTCTTTCCCTCCCCCCCTCTTGTACAAAGCTCTCTCCATTCTTTGCTAGTAATTCTTTTCCATCCTAGAGAACAGCATGGGGAAGCGTGTCAGGAAAATGCAGCTCTCTGCTTTCAGTTCATCAGCTGTCAATGCCTTTGTTCTCCAAAACACACATGATGGGAAGATTTATTTTAAATACATTAGCTATCTAAAAGTGCATGCAGACAAAATTTACCAAGCAGAATTTATCAGATGGTGTTCAGCAATTGTGTACGGAACTCCTACAATGTGCCAACACTTAACAACCTGCTGTTCCTGATCTTGCTTGTCTTTGCACAGACTACAAGGTTAGACCTGAGTTCCTACCTCCTGTAAGTAAACATTTGTCCTGGGAGCAACTCAAAAGCTGCAAACACACCCATTTTTTTTCACAGTAATTCTCAGTAATGGATAGGATCGATGGCATCTCTGCTTCAGACTTGTTAAAAGTAGGTCTTTAAGTCTCTTTCTTTGTGCAAATCAGTCGCAGCCTGGGAACAGCTGGCTTAGTTCTCAATCGACAATATTGCCCATTGAAAAATTCAGCCTCCCTAAATGATACTTTCTTTTTTTTAAATTTTCAACAACAAAAGACATAAAAGATAGATTCTACCTTTCTCAGTGGTGTTTTAGGCAAACAAAAACGTGCAAGCAAGACAACTGAGCAAAAAATCCTCAGAAACAACCCCAGGTGAGTTCAAGGCAGAAGGCTGAGCAAGGAGGAGTCAAAGTGGGGATTTGTGATCTAAGAAATTCAGCCTGATGAATGGGGATGGGGGAAGGAAAGGGGAAAGTGCTGTTTGCAGTTATAACAAATGAAGTGTGTTCCTGCAGCTGTCTTGGTTTTGTTTCAACTGGCACCATGAGAACGCACAGCAGTTACAATCTAGTTTCGTGTCTAAGATTCAACGAGAGTAACTCAAGCGCGAGTGATACAAAGGCAATATCCAACCGAACCAAGGAATCGACTCTTAGGGCAATCCTGTCAACGTTTAAGTGTGTGCTTGGACCCAAAAGCAGGAGGAGGCAACAATGCTTGATAAGAAATGCACTCATTACCTTGCTCATGTAATTGTAACCCCTCTGTACGGTATTTTCACAATAAAAAAAAAAAAGAAGCTTTTCATTATTCATAGGGTCCAGCTATCAATTTCAGATGACCGTTTCATAGGATGTAGACCCTCTTTTAAAGAAATCATTCATGACTTGAAGTGCTAACTGTAATGAGACTGGCGTCACAGATGGAAGCCAAAGATCCCAAGCGAAGTCTTCTGAAACACAGTCCCTACAATTCCGGTGGTGGAGTGTAAAGACGGGAAGTATGGGGGATTCCTCCGCCCTTCTGGTCGCTGGCCAGAATGGGTCCTGGCTGTCAGGTGGGTGGGTGGCAGCCAGCCTGAGCTTTGGTTAAGACCAGGCGGTCATCTGGGAGCCGGGACTGAGTGGTTGGAGGGCCCAGCCCTATCAAGTGTTGAGGTTGGGACCCGCAGCCATCGCTGGGGGTAGCTCCAGGCAGGGGGTGCAGCCCTTTCCCAGAACCCAGGAGGAAATCTGCTGTCAAGCCAGCGCCTCTCCGGCTCCCAGAAAGCAAGCTAGGCAGATGGGGACGCGGACCCTTCCTCGAGCACAAAGGTTGGGATGTGAGCACGAGCGCGGGGGCGCAGGGGCGTGCGCCACAGAATGTGAGTGTGCGCGTGATTGTGTGTGTGCGCGCGCGCGCGTGTGCCTCTGTGTGTGTGTGTGTATGTGTGTGTGTGTGTGCGTGCGTGCAGGGGAAGGAGAGGAGGTGCTCCAACCCTTCTTACCTTTCGAAGATAAGCCGCACCATGAAGATGCAGAAGGCCAGGGGGAAGGCGAGATAGAGGTCCTCAACCTGCGGGAAGGTGGCTTCCTCCGTGTTCTTCAGGTCTGCCCAGGTGACATTGTGCGGGAGCCAAAACCTCTCGTTCCAGAACCAAGCTAAGATCCCTGCCATCTTGCTTTGTCCACTCCTGTCGTGCGGCTCCTGTGGCCCTCCAAGCTCTCCGCGGCGCAGGACGCCCGGGGATGCGCGCTGGGCTGGCCCGGAGCCGGTGCCGCTGCTGCCGCTCGCGCCGGCCGCCGCCGCCGCCGCCGCCTCCTCCTCCTTCTCCTCCTCCTCCTCCCCGGCCGCTGCTCTCGAAGGCTGGCGGCGAGCCCCGGTTCTCTCCTCCCTCTGGCCGCGCTGGAAAAGGGGCCGCCTCGCCCGTCACATGGCAGCCCCGGCCATTCGCCCTGATTGGCTCGTCCTCGCGTCAAGCAGCGCTGCACACGCGGCCAGCTTGCCCACGCCCGGAGAGCAAGACGCCGCCGCTGCGCCCGGGGCGCGGGACCACCGCTCCCCGCAGTGACTCCCGCCCCGGTGCTCACTCACTGGGACATCGGGGCAGACACCTGGAGCCACAGCGCACCGCAACCCCAACCCCTTAAGTTGGCTTGCACATGCTCAGAACGCCGGTTCCAGCCCCCATTGGAGTTCCAGGGCTACGGTCCGCTTCCCGTGCGCCCGGGGAAGGGGCGGGGGAGGGGGAACCTGTGGGGGGAAGTCCTTTAGAGCCAGAGCTGAACTCCCCAAGCAGCCCTGCATTCAAAGAGGAGAAGTAGGGGGTGCAGAGGCCAAGAAGGAGGAAATAGAAGGGACAGATGATTTTTTCCCCTTCAATGAAGAAAGATGAAAATCAGGAACTGGGACAGGATGGTTTGGCAAGAGCCTGTGCATCTGTGCATCTGCCCCAAGTCCATGGCTCCCTCCCCCGTCTTTGACCTTCTGACCTTGTCACTACTACCTCTCCTGGAGCCAGAGCTCCCCCAAGGAAATTTGGCTGTTTCGTTTCATTTGACTTGATTATTAACTGTTGCCTGATGGTGATGGAGGCAGTGGCCGCAACTGCAGAATTCTGTAAAAACGGAAGACAAAATACTGGACCACATTTTGATGTTGTAGGTGACAAGAGATCCTCCACTTTGCTGTTCGCAGGCCCTCAGAGGCCTAATGTAGACACTCTCAGCCTTGCCTTGCACTTTGTGAGAGTAGTAGATTGGGTAAATTCCAGGAGCTAATTTGTTCATTTATCTCACATTCATTTTCTGCCTAGCTAGCTCTGCCATGAATTCTACTAGACCTTTCTAATGGTCCTATACACACACACACACACACACACACACACACACACACACAGAGTTTGTTTATTTATCTTCCTCTCCTTCTACTTATCACTTTCTCTTCATTCCTTCCCTTTAAAACAAAACTTCCAAGAATGGTATATACTGTTGTCTCTAACTTCTCCTGTTCTCTTTTGAACTTCCATTTGGGAATTTGTCTCCTCCATTGTACCAAAAATGTTCATCTCCATGAACTAAAACATAAAGGTCAGTTCTTCTCTTAGTTCAGGTGGTTTAAACAACTGAACTCTGGACTCATCACCTTCCTAACCTGTAACAGCTTAAGAGGCTTCAAGGCTAGCTTTTTGTCACTAATCCAGATTATTCAATCTAGTCTTAAAGTGTTAAGAGCCTTGCTACTAATCTTCTAAAACTTCTGCCTCCTATAATCTTGGCTCAAGCTAAAAATGTAGAGTCCCACACATGCACTCTCTCATACCTCCTTTGCAATTTATCACAAATCCTGACCATAATCTCACCAGAGCTCAACTTTCTTCTGCTGACATCTGATCCAAACAAAGCAACTCTTCTCAGCTGAGCTATTCCAGTCAACTCCTAACTTTCAGTCTGCCTTCTACAGCCTAATCTCAGCCAACGTGATCTTGTGGAAATGTAAGATCACTCCAGTTCTTACAGATGTGTTCCATCTCCATCCTTCTCCAAGTAGAAGTTAAAGTCATTGCAAGGTCCCAACATGCATGGTTCCATATTTGCTTTCTGGTCTCCTCTGCTCTTGCCTCCCTTGCACCACTTTGGTTACGCTTGCCTCCTTGTCCTTCCCAGAATGTATCAGCCATACCTTAGACCCTTTGCATGTGCTTTTCTATGTGCCTGGAACTCGTCTCCCCCAAATATCCATACCTACTCTACCTTTTAACGTCACTCTCTCAGTGAAGCCTTCCCTTGCCATCCTAGTTTATCTACTGCCCTTACTCCCCTATACCTTCATCATTATCAACACTGTATATAACTTGCTGCTTACTTGCGTTCACCTCTCTCTCTCTCTTTCCCTCTCTCTCTCTCTCTCCTATATATATATATATAAACACACTAATGTAAGTAGTTACAGTATTTATCCAAAATTCTACTTCCAACACTTAAAGAAAGTGCCTGGAACACACTTAAGTACTAGATAAAATAGCTAATAAGTCAACATTATTCTAACTCAATATTCTATAGGAAAAAATTCTGACCCATTCTCCATGTGATGAGATTCATGTGAAAAAAAAAAAAAAAAACAGTGTGGCATCAAGAAGGGATGTTCAGTTCTGGGGTGGACAAATGAGTCTTCATCAGGAAATAGATATCACCATCCTACTCCAGATGTTCTAGAAGATGCTGTGGCACCAGGGGTAGTCCTGTAGGGTACAGAGGTTTGTTAAGGCACAATCTTTGTGGCAGAAGGCCATGTCATAGTGGAGTTATGTCAGCTCTCTGCATGAACAAGACTGTACTAATTTCTCAAGTTACATCTTCCCGTATGACCTGATAGTAGCTTGTTTCCTGCCCTGGGGCCTCTTTTCTGTCTAGCAGCTCCTTCCATGTTCTCAAGCATGTACAGCACATGAGTTAATGACTGGTGCTTGCACTTTGATGTTATAGCCAGAAGGTAATTTGCACTTCTTTGCCTTTTCTGCCCTTAAAATACACGTAGCATCAAACAACCTTATTTCAAGGAATGACCAGCTTAGTAACACATCTCTTATATTTCCTTTTCCTCTTTATCTCTTACTTCACTGGTCCTTTATTCTCTTCCCCGAAACTATCTGGCTTGATTGTCCTTTCTGGAGAAGCCAGACTCATAGGAGAACAGAGATAAGTGTGCTTCTCTTACTCCTCAACTTTGAGAAGTAGAAGGATTTCAGAAATCTTCTGGAAGATTTCAGGAACCCTCTGGAAGATCAGAAGGAAAGTTCAGTGCTTGTCTAGAAATGTTGAACAATCATTTTGTTTCTAAGATGATGTAAATAACCTCTTGGGTGATTTGTGTTCGATCACAATGGTACCTGCCTTGCCTCTATCATCTGACTGTTGAGGATCATATGAAATTAGCTATGGGAAAAGACTTGTAAACTCTTCACTTTGGTGCCCATGTACAGTTCAAAAAACAGCTCTTTTTTTCTGTCCCATCCCTTATTCAAGCAATGCTCCTATCCTACCACCTTCTGTGCAAGTTATTATTCTCAAGACATAATAGAGTGAGGTCTAACCAGATTTTGATGATCTAGGGACTGGCCTAATACAGAAATTAAAGTAGTTCTTCAGATGTTAGGGATCAGGGCTATCTATAATATTTTGTGCCAATACTGGGGCTTAAACTCAAGGCACTATCCTTTAGCTTTTCACTGGAGGCTAGCACTCTACCACTTGAGCCACAGCTCCAGTTCCAGATTTTTTTGTTGTTGTTGGTAGTGGTGGTCATTAATTGAAGATAAGAGACTAATAGGCTGGGGCTGGGAAGGTGGCTCAGTGGTAGAGCGCTTGCCTTGCATGCCTGAGGCCCTGGGTTCGATTCCTCAGCACCACATAAGCAAAAAGAAAAAAGCCGGAAGTGGCGCTGTGGCTCAAGTGGTAGAGTGCTAGCCTTGAGCTGAAGAGCTGAGGGACAGCGCGCAGGCCCAGAGTTCAGGCCCCACTACTGGACCCCCCCCCAAAAAAAAAAGAGAGAGAGAGACTAATAGGCTTTTATGCCTGGCCCAGCCTTGAACCTTGATCCTCAGATCTCAACCTCTTAAGTAGCTAGGATTACAAGTGTGAGCCACCAGCACCTGGCTATCATTTTTATGGGCATTTGAACTCAAGGATTTCAAATTCAGAGAAATAGTATACATCTTATATCATTGAACAGCTAGGAAAAGAAGAATTTAGTCTGCTACAAGGAAGAATAACACAGATCTGTACAGTTAAGTAGAAGTCAGTGATACACAGGAATCTTGAGGGCTTTGAGCTCTAGGTCCGACAATGCACCTGAAGATTAACTGCTGGTTCCGTGGACCAGCATATCTTCATGAGACTTTTCCCTTTGGGTTGCTGTTACTTTAATGCAACAGATATTCCTATCCAAGACATTACTGTAAAAGTTCATGTCTAACACTAAAGTCAGCCTCAAGAGAAGGCCGGCTATAGCAAAAATAGCACAAGCACATATCCTAAGATGACTACTTTTACACTTGTACAGGAAAGTATAAACTACCACATTGTTGCCCTAGAAACCAGAAAACAATATATATGAAACAGAGATACAATGCATATATAGCCAGTGAGTAAAAGAATAGTTGGTTGGTAAATAGAAGACACAGGAGAGAGAAAAGATGAAAAAAGTATTTGCTGAAAGGGAGATTCTCTGCCCACACTGCATGTTACCAGAGCAGGCTTAGTGTGCTGAATGTGAAGCAGCATGAGAGAACACACCCTTTTCTCCAGGCAACTATCAGGAAACTATCAACAAAGCCAGACTTTATTTCTCATTCTCAGGTACACATCTACCCACATCTGAGCTCTCACACATCTACTCTTATAAGAATCTTCCCTTCTTAGATATAGGAGGGCAGCCAGAAGTTTCTATGAATTTCTACTCTGTGTTACATAACACAAAATTGTAGTACTTGTTCTACCAAAAGAACACAAAATCTATTTGGGGAGCAGGATGTACTCACATAAAAAGCATGATAGCAATACATGCTGGCACCATTCAAGATGGCACTAGAGATTGGAGGACAAGGGCCCAAGGACCTCAGATAACAAAGACCTCCTTCTCAAAGGAGGAAGGAGACATTTGGTTTGGAAGAGGCCAAGGGATCTTCAAGGAAATGGCAGAAATAGAAGAAGGCTTTGAGAAATGAGAAAGATTTGAAAGTGCATCTGCAAAAGTATACTCATATGAAAGATCTGGTAAGATGAATAAACAGAGCATTGCTCATAGATCAGTTTGCAAATGG